CCGGATATAAGAGACTTCTTCTCCGGTCCCGACAACTCTCTTATATCCGGGTTACACTATATATATATATATATATATATATATATATATATAAATCAGGAGATCACCCGATTCCGCAACATTGATTTAAATCTTTCGGTATCTTCAGGCGATTTCGGTCAATTGATTTCCTAAAGCTTTATATACAAGAAAAAAAAATAAAATAAAAAATTTATGAACGCTATATTTATAAAAAAAAAATAATAAAGTGTGTTGGAAATTTATCGGTTAAATATGTTCATACTTTCTTTTCGTGCCACTTCATATGAACTCAAAAGGAACTTTTTAGTATGCATACAACGCGTCATAATTTCTGATCTCTCATTCAAAACGTTTTGGTCTAGAAATGTTGTTATTGCTAAATTTTTTAATGACAAATGTTGCAGATGACTTGGTTCATCATCTCTCATCGAAGGGCCTTTTTTCAGACAAGCAATGCAGCTTTTGTTTCAACAGGTCAACTGCTGATGTACTGACGATAATTGAAGAAAGAATTGGTCATGCTCTAAATAAAAACTGTGAAGCTCGGGATGTCGCATTGCTCTAGACTATTTCATATGCTCTGGCATTCAGGTATTCTCCACAAGTAGAAAAGATAGGGTGTCCCCGAACACGTTTTAGAATTGATCCAGTCTTTCCTATCAAATCCTGAAATGAAAGTTTTTCCTGAACAGCCATATATATATATATATATATATATATATATATATATATATATATATATAGGTACCTCCACGAGATCGCTAAAAAAAGAGTATAGCATGAAGAAAAAGACGCCAAACTTGACGAAAACAAAATTTTACCGTCTAAATGTTTGTTATTATTAAGCGGAAAGATCAAAGTATTTTGGGGGTATTTTTTCCCTTTTTTTAATCGTTCCTAGCACGTCCGAAATTTTCGTTAAAAATCTAGTTTTTTTTTTGAGTCAGCAAAATTGACCATTTTTTTTTTTTGCATTTAAAAAAAAACTGGAAATCTCACTTTGAAATTCTTTTAAATATCAATTATCATTTTTTCAAAACTTTTTCTAAGAAAATCAGAAATTATAATGTTTATTTAAAATATTTTGAACCAAACTTAGCTTTTGTGCCAAAAAGATGTAATTTGAAAATAAAACAAAGCAGGTCATAAACCTTCGCGTCTCTTGACAGGTGATGAATGACATATTTACGAATTCCATGAGGCTAATTTGTTCTACGGGAGGAGAAAAGTGAAATAATTTACATTTAAGTGAACATATTATTTACCTCGTTATTTTTAACGAAAACTTTAAGCGGTCTTTTTTTTTTTTTTTTGTACTTAGCTTTCACCTTTACGTTTATGATGCTTTATATATATAATATATAAATATATTCTAAAGAAATTAAAATAAGACTGTTAAGAGTGACATTAAATTTCATATTTCCTAAGAAAGGTATCTAATTAATTTATAGGTACCTTTCTTATGAAATGTTATCAGAACTGTACATAAAATACTATAATTTTATGTACATTTATTACATTCTACTGTTATTTGTATTTGCATTCATTTTATTATTAATTTTGATATTTCATTTATGGAAAAATGTCGTAACTGAGATTAATATAAAAATAAGATCATATAAATTTCATAAGATGATACTGATACTTGTAGGTAACCTTCTCAGTTGAAATTGAAAAATCAAATTAACTTCTCCACACGTGTTTCGCAAAAGTAAAGGCCTTTAACAGCGGAGAACAATGCTTAACTCAAATAACGCAACTTAATTATATTCTGGTTGGTCTTCCGTACTTTATAATTACAGCCCGGTTATAAGCACAAAATTACATTTCTTAATTACTGCGGATCTTCTGATTAATCAAAATGATACAATTTACAACGCGCTAAAAAAGATCTATCTCATAAGAACACTTAGGAAAGCCGATGTGGCTTTTAACTAATTTTATAATATTTTAACAACTTAAATGTAAAATCTATTATAATTAAAGAAATAACAAATAATTGTATTAAAATTTCATTTTTCATCAAAAAATTTTTTTGCTTTCAGAAAATATTGTCCATATTCATAAAAACAACAAAAAGCAAATAAAAGCATTTGAAATTAAATAACATCTTTGTTTTATTGAGTTTTGTATGTTACAATTCAGAGCTGATTTTCAGGTACTGCGGATCCAATTAAAAACAAAAAAAAAACATGATTTGCATTCTTCAAAGCCCTGTGCTTTTAATTATTGTAATCACTAAACCCGATGCGATCGAATTTCTAGCGTTTTCATAAAATTAGTTATGCGGGGAGGGGGGGTAATAAATATTTAAAAAAAATATTTCTACCATGACTTTAATAAAAAAAACATATTTATAATAATTTCGATTATCTGTGAATAGTTCCTGAAAGTTTCATTAACATCCGACAATTATTTCTATTCTTGCACGATTTTTCAAATTAATGTGTGTCATACCAAAAAAACGTGCTAAAAATTGTCTGTTATTTACTAGTTCTGCTGATACAAATAGAAACAAGATTTTTTTAATCAAAATTTAGAATTTTCTAAAAAGAAGGAAAAATTTTTTAAAATAATTAAAAAAAACTTTGGTCTTTCCTCTTTACAACACGCTAAAAAAGATCTATCTCATAAGGACACTTAGGAAAGCCGATAAGCATTTAGACAATAAAATTTTGTTTTCGGCAAGGTTGGCGTCTTTTTCATCAAGCTATGGTCTTTTTTTAGCGATTTCGTGGGGGTACCTATATAATTCGGTCGAGCACTTTAGAGGAAATGCGCGAATTTGTAAACAGTGACTGCTACTGCTGATAATGCTCTTCCATGTATCGAGCACTCTGAGTCGCTGGTGTGTTTATTCGAAAATAAATACGTAAAAATTCACCTTCTTCTCTGCCGGGAGCTTATAGCTTAGGGAAAAAAAAATCTCCAACTAATGCCAAATCAGTCGGGTTTTGATCTTGACTTGAGACAATCGGATGTCGAGCTGCCCTGATGAGCTGTGATACAGCGAAACAGTCTGTGGAGAACAAATACATTGTGATCTGTATCAAAAGCTCTTTAATTACAATATTTTGATATGGCTCATTTTTATTGGCGAATCTACTTTGAAACTAATGAAGCTTAAACTTCAAGGCCTCTAATCCGAAAGGGTCATATAAAGCAACCTTTGTAATGATTGAATTTTTCAACTATATCAATGGGTCTTTCAGTGCCTATTAAAATAAGGCCATTTTAGTGATAGAATCATAAGCCAATGGGTTGAAGTAGCTAATGTTGGCCTTAGAATGTGTTCTATTACCCGTTTCATATGGCCTCAAAATTCCCCTGTAATAAGTCACATTTCAACCCCATTTATATGAACTCGTTCAGCTCACCAGAATTTTTTCATAGCGTACATTTTCGCAGATCCTCGAATCTATTTTTGCTAGTTTCGAAGCAGTTTCTGTTCAAGCTTCAAAAATGTATGTCCATAACATCTTTCGATAACCCAGGCTCCTCCTAAAGTTTCTAGATATTGGTGGGTCACACATCCTTTATGACGCGTTTTCAAGCATAATAAGCATCAATTGGTGGTTGATTACTTCGAGATTTTTTTTCCAAATGAAAACATATCATCCTTAAAATGCTTTAGCCACTTTTGGGAAGGATGATCAGTTCTAGATTCATTTCCTTCCACTTACCAAATTCTGCAAGCACAGTCAGCAGATTTATATCAGAGTTTAAAATAATGCCTTAGAATCAGCAGACTCAATACTTGTATCTGTCGTTCTTCTATTTGCTGTGTCCCTTCAGGATATAGACGGTCATAGCTCTCCACAACTTCCTATTCCTTGTGGCTCTTTTTACGGTGGATTTTTTAAAAAAATCATAATCAACAACTTCGAGTTGATTACTTCTAAACTTTATTCAAAAAGTCAAATGATCATCCTTGAAATGTTTTAACTACTTTGGAGCAGGATGATCAGACATTGTTTCATTTCTCTCCTCTTCCCAAATCCTGCAAGCAGTTTCAGCAGCTTTGAGTCCGAGTTTAAAATAATGCTTTAAAATCACCAGACTCAATACTTGTATCTGCCGTTCTTCTTCTCGTTGCTGTGTCCCTTTAGTATATAGGCGGTCATAGCACTCCACAACTTCCTATCCCTTGTGGCTCTCTTTTATGATGGATTCTAAAAAATCATAATCAACAACTGAGAGTTGATTACTTCTAAACTTTATTCCAAAAGACAAATTATCTTTAAAATGCTTTAACCACTTTTGGGAAGCATGATCAGCTATTGATTCATTTCCTTCCACTAACCAAATTCTGCAAGCAGCGTCAGCAGTTTTGTGAACCAATTTAAAATAATGCCTCACTTTTACCAGAATCTTAATTCTTGTACTTACTATTATATTATTGGAAACAATATCTACTGCTGAACAATATTGATATTGATTAGACAATGCTGACCGAAATTATTGGCTTTGTTTGATTTTTTTTTATTGATAATAATTACAAAGAAAACGAGAAAATTGCTATGAGTATAAAGTTATGAAAAAATAGATTTTTAATATTTTATATTGAATAATGAAAAAGAAAAGAAAAAAATAGTAAATATCAATGAAAAATTGACTTAAAATGTCCCTGAAAGTTCGAAATTAAGTTGCCTTTTGAGTTGTTAAATATACAAACGGAAATTACTAATACTACAATATAAAAAAAAAAACAAAATCGGTTATCGAAGCTTTGCTTTGTAAGGCACAAGATCTCGCTGAAAGGGGACCCACTAAGGATCGAACTCATTACTGTTTGATAAATATTAAGCTATAGTAAGCGCCCAAAAAATGTTGTTATAATTTTTTGTTTTTATTACTATTTTTGTCTATGTGCGTGAAACTCGTTACGATTCCAGACCAGATAAAAGACAGAATTTTCAAACAGAGATTTCACACTTGGAAGATTGGCTCAATACAATTCCCCAACCTCTTTTTTAGACTAGATAGATATATAGAAATGAGTGAGAGAAAGAGAGATAGATAGATAGAAATGAGTGAGAGAAAGAGAGATAGATAGATAGAAATGAGTGAGAGAAAGAGAGATAGATAGAAATGAGTGAGAGAAAGAGAGATAGATAGAAATGAGTGAGATAAAGAGAGAGATATAGAAATGAGTGAGAGAAAGAGAGATATATAGAAATGAGTGAGAGAAAGAGAGATATATAGAAATGAGTGAGAGAAGGAGAGAAAGATAGATAGAAATGAATGAGAAAAAGAAAGTGTTGTGGTAGGATCCACCTAATTTGCATAGTGGAGTACCGACCATATAAATACGGTTGGTACCGGGAAGAGAGGGAGGAATCAAGAGATTCAATCCAGAGACTCTGCCCGACTGCGACTCAGTCAACACATTCTCCAGGAACGGTCTTACCAGGAATATACAAAAGACTATATGTAAATATTGTGTACACTTTCTTGTTTCAATACATTTTGTTCTAAGTACATTTTGTGTTGTATTATTATTCCATGCATTAGTCAAGTTTCAACAGAAAGATAGATAGATAGAAATGAATGAGAGAAAGAAAGAAAGATAGAAATGAATGAGAGTAAGAATGAAAGATAAATAGATAGATAGAAATGAATGAGAGAAATTGTTGAATTCGGCTATTTCCGGAGAAAGATCTGCATATTTTCCATCTTGCTTCCAGCGTCCTGAGTTAAGCATATGAAATAACAATATTCCTTTCCTTGGATTCGAAAGAGATATTTAATTGGGATTCTCGAGTCGACGTGGAAGAAAACTTCATAGAATGCAAATTGTTATGAAGTGGTTTCATTTCCTAGATATCTCCCGGTCTTCTCTTCCAATGAGATTTCTTCATATTACGTTGCTGTATTTCATGCATTGAACAAGACACAAGTTTCAGGCTCTTGTTTTGTGTTCAATATTGCATAAGGGCAGAGACGAATGAGTTGCTTACTGATTATTGTTGCATTTACCGAATTAAAAATGACACCCGTAACGATATGCAAGGAAAAAAGTTCGTTTGTTTTGGGGGGGGGTGTTCTTTTTTGTTTTTGGGGTTTTTTTTTGTTTTTTGGGGTTTTTTTTTGTTTTTTGTTTTTGTTTTTTCTTTGTTTTTTTTGTTTTGTTTTGTTTTTTGGGTTTTTTATTGATTTTTTTTTCTTTTCTTTTCTTTTATTTTTTTTGCTTGTTTGCTTTTTAGGTTTGTATTTGTTGATTCACCAGATAAAAATTATAGAAATTGGATCTCGATTACTAAATAAATAATAGTTCGTATGTCATGTTTTTATAAAATAAATAGCTAAATATGATTTGCGTGACATGAAAATATATGATACAGATTTCCGTTTAATTATGAAGTACTAATAGCTTTCATTTTCTCTCTGCCCTTTGATATACATTTACGATGTGTGTAGCAAGAATTCAATTAAACGAGTTTCACTAAGTTCAGTCTGCAATTTCAGTCCGTTTCATAATTCTTAATGTATTTTTCAGTTTTCGAATATATTGTTGCACATTTGGATCAGAATTCAAGTAAACGCGACTTACACAAGCAGCTACGACATAGAAATTAACGCTGCATAGTGACTGTAAGAGTCATGCCTCAATTGACCTTCAGGCCAATCAATCCAACTTCTCTGTGCAGTGTCTCTTCGTTGATAAATACCTCCTTTTAGCTTATTTTCTTCTTTTGACTAATTCTAGCTGTATTCAGATTTTATGTTAAGTTTAGAGTTTTTTTTCAATTGTAATTGTGATAGGGTTAGTTGGTAGGATAGTATATTATTTTGATTCAATAGGTTTGTCAGTGGGGCGATTTTTCTATTTTCGTATATTTCATGAGCCTTTTGTTTCGCATTGAATATAAAATAGTTGAAACATTGAAGAAGCGTTTTCCCTGTATTTCTCCTCTTCATGTAAATACTGAGGGCTGCAAATTTTGACTGCTCTTAAAGTAGAATCCGATGATTATTCCAGATTTTATTTTGTTGTCAATACAAAACAAAAAATTAAGCCAAAACTTGGAGGAATTTACTCTATCACCTGTAATAATTCTCCCAAAACTTACATAGGAGAAACCTCAAGGAATTTAAATAAAAAATTATAAGAACACAAAAGTGACATTTTACAGAACAACATATCAAAGGCATCAGTTGCTCACCATAACTAGATTGACCACAATTTTGATATAAAAAATGCTACTCCGATCAAAGGAGAAAACAATTCACTAAGGTGGAATTGTTTAGAAAGTGCATTGATTGCAAAGTCATCCACAATAAATTTGCGCCTTGGCTCTTGCAACATTTCACAATTCCTGACAGAGCTTCTATTATGACAATGAAATATCTAATAACAAAACTGATGGAATCAAAGAGAAAAAGAATCTAAATGAAAACTGTAGATTATATAGCCAAACAAATTAATGAAATAATTTAGAATTTATTATGACAAAAAAATTATTTTATAATTAAATTTTGCTCTCGTCAAAATATCCTCCTTTCGCCTTGATTGCTGCAGCGCAAATTTTTGGAATTCATTGAAAAGTTTCTCAAAGTATAAGTTTGATAATTGATTCTATTCTTTTTTTTTCAATGACGTTAAGAGGTCTATTTAATTTTTTCTGTCAAGTTTATCCCGTGCTAATTAAGTGGGTAGCTTCAAACTTTTAAACTGTGGTGTGCACATACACACATATATATATATATATATATATATATATATATATATATATATATATATATATATAAAAAGATTGGATTGATGTAAGTTTGTGACTCTGGGTTTCACGCCTTTGCGATCGTCAGACAAACTGATTAATTTTTTTAAATTTTGGGTTTATGTAGATTGCGTGTATTGGTGTTATTATGGGACTGGGGGGGAGGGTCGTCATCCTGATGTCACTCATGCTAACGCTAACATAGATGCATGTCCGTACGAGCGAGTGTGTATGTATGTATGTCTGCGTACCTCATCGGGTGTACGGACATGCATCTATGTTTACGTTAGCACGATGACATCACGACGACGATCCCCACCCCACTCCCATAATAACACCAATACACGCAATCTACATAAACCCAGATTTTAAAAAATTAATTAGTTTGTCTGACGATCATCAAAGAAAATTCTAAACTCACATTAATCAACCAAATATGTTAGCTTTATCTCTGATATTGAGCACTTTCTAATACCGCATATAATATATATATAATAATTATATATATATATATATATATATATATATATATATATATATATATATATATATATATTTATTTATTTAAAAAATATGATTCCAAAACGCTACATCAGAAGTCTCAGGTAGCGTTTTGGGATCATATATATATATATATATTTGGTTGGATAGATGTGAGTTTGTGACCCTGGGTTTCACGCTTTAGCGATCGTCAGACAAACTCTTATATTTATATACACTTTTCACATATATATATATATATATATATATATATATATATATATATATATATATATATATATATATATATAATATTTTTATTTAATCGTCTTAGTACATATGTACCTTCTTGAAAATGGCAAAGTGGTCGAAAGCACCCTTACCCTAAGCAAAAAGAAACATTCAAGGAAACTAGAAAAACTCAATGAAAAAAAATCAGCAAAAAGACACATGTTCGAAAGAAAGGTTGCTACACACACATTTAAGGATGTATCCCACACGGGTAAAAAATATAGGGAAAAAATGTTTAAAAATGCAAATGAAGTATTCAGTTCTAAACTTTTCAAAAGTTAAATTGAGATGGAGAGACATGTTTATGCCATCTCACGCATCTTATTGGTTTTGATGAATTCTTTCTGTTTTATACAAAAAAGTAAAATCGGTGTAGTTGATTATGATCACGGGATCATGTATAGTAATTTTAGCGCCAAAAATCGATGATCATAAAATTTTATTGTTAAAATTTGGGAGTGTCTTAGTTCAGTGGGCTTGGCTAATGAAAACAAAGCGTTAAGTAGCCCATGACAGCAAAATGTCAAGTGTTTCAAGTGTCAGAAATTCTGTTTTGTTGGACTGGACCTTAGAGACAATCCCAAAATCTCAATTGTTCAATGATTACATTAATGCTTGCGAGAGTGTGTAAAAAGTTTTAGTGTTTACGACTATGTCGGAATATGCAGGAAAACGTGATCTAAAGTAAAAGCGATAATGGTAATGATGATGTTAGCAAAACAAGAATTGTCAATGTGTGTCTGAGCATATAAATGTGTTAAATGTTCAGTAAGTAGCCAGGTGAACAAGAATTTGTGTGTAGGATCGTGGTATATCGCCTTTATAATAATGACGATAATAACAGTGATAATAATGATTAAATGGACACGGACATTACATATGTATGTATCTGCTTGAGTTTTGTGTATAGTCCTTAGTAAATGTACCGTGTTAGTATTTATTCAAACCTGGTTTGTATTTTTCACTAAATACATTTTCTTTATTTATTCGTGTTTAGTCCGTGGTATTATCTGGGCAAAGATGAAGAGAGAAAACTTGGAATTTGGTGAACTTATTTATTGCACATAAATTTAAATGCCCACTGAGTCGTATTTGTCACGTGATGAAGTCTCGTATTTGTCACGTGATGAAGTCTCGTATTTGTTGGCGATGAATTGTCATTCTGTTTCTGAAAGTGTGTTTGCTTTGCCCGATGTAATCTTCGTTGCATCATTTACATTTAATAGCATATTTTAGATTTTCTTGGTGAACAGGTGAAATGATTTTTTTTCTTACAAAAGGTTTGTCTGGATTTAAATTTATATACATTGTGTCTTCAATAAGGTTGACACAAGAACCGCAATTAGAACTAACACACATATTGGAAGTTGGGTAATTTGGAACTGGTGAATAGTTTTTTTTTTATGCATTTTGGGTGTCCTTTATTACTATTATTTGTTTCGAGTGCCTTTTCCATTTTGGGGTCTTCTCTCAACAGATCTATGTTCTTGTGGATAATGTTGCATACTTATGTATTGTGTCGTGTGGAGAATTCTTGTATATTTACATTATTCGGACTATTGTCCTCATTTCTGTCCTCCTTTGTCGCCATATGAGGACAGATGAGGACAATAGTCCGAATAATGTAAATAATGTACATGATACCTCATCTCGGAAATATAGACAGATATTGGAGAATTCTTCTCGCTACATTAAATGGAATATTCGTCTTCGTGTGTTTCGGAGGGCTTGAGATGAATTGCAGTTATTGTTTAGAATCTGTTGGTTTGTCGTAGATTCCCTAATATCTTATTACAGCAGACAAACAAAATAAAGTAGTGGTGGAGTAAAGGTAAAGTCTGCCTACATTAAATGGGTTGAAATGAAGTTGGCTCTAAAATACAACCATAATTATTATTTCCTTATTCTATTGTACCAGGTTTTCATCCGTTATTAGACACGAAACCTTTAGGCTGAATGAATTTTTCCATGTATTTGTTAGTGTAGAGGACCATGTGTATTTGCGAGTTGTTGAATTAGGAAACACGTGCTGTTTATTCCTGCTAGAAGGTCCAACTACAAGAAAATGGCGGATTCAAGTCGAGTCCAACCGAAGATGTAAAGACAAACAAGACCGAGATATATATATATATATATATATATATGTCAACAAATATATGTATTTAACAACAAATTTACAAGTGACAAAGACATTAACATTTGTGTTTGTGTG